GTAGACTCAACTCAACTGAAACTGAAAGTTTGAGATTGTTAAGGTAACCTTTTCTTGTCTTTATATGGTATTTATTTCGATTTAGGGTCTGGAAATCCGATTTGGGTTTCGAAATTCGACTTCATTTGTAGTTTATCATGATATTAGTCTATGTTACATGTAGTTTGATTAAGAAATTAGACCAAATATTTGTTGTTACTTTATAATTGTTTTTTTTTTTCAATTAATGGATCTGGAAGCAAGAAAAGTTGATTCTTTTTATAAATTATTTGGACTCTGTTCTGCAAAATTTTGATCTTTTTAGAAATGTTGATGTGTTTGCTATGGTGAAATTAAGATGTCGAAAACAGAGTTCGAAGTGTTGCTAGAGACATTCACATTCCCTGCTGATTCAGCTCCTTTCAAGAGTTGTCATGCATCTACCATTGTTGAGGTACATACTAAGACCATCACAATTTCTCCTTTTTTTCCCTTTTGTAGTTTCAGCGCTGGATTCGCCTCGAAACTGAAGCGGTTTTTGTATATATGTTGTGAAAAAGGTTGATAAAGATCATTTTTTGACTGCGTATTTCGGAGGCACATATGAAGGAGCACCTGATGTTAAAATCTGGTTGCAGCATTTCAAGGTAGATTAGATAGACTATTATCAAGAATCTCTTAATTAGGTCATATGAAGCTTACCGGTTAAATGGTTCGCAGGATGGTCAATGGGACTCAGCGGTTATTGTTGATGAAGTGCCAGGAGTACCAATGTGGAACCCTGTGTTGTTTAAGCTTCCATCTCAAGAGCTCTTATTGTTCTACAAAATTGGCCAGGAGGTTCAAAAGTATGTCTCTCTCGAGTAATCGGATAACTCTTTTGTTTCTTTCATTTCTTTGATCTCTCTGTTTTTTGGGTGTAAACCTCAGATGGAGCGGTTGCATGAAACGATCATATGACAAAGGTAGAACCTGGACTAACAGAGAACAGCTTCCTCCCGGGATTCTTGGTCCCATTAAAAACAAGGTGCTTCTTGCGTTGCACGGACTCCATTACTCGATAAAGATTAAACCTTTTTGTATTGGTTCGAAGAGTTAGCGCTTCTTTCTTCGTTCTTCTGCAGCCTATTTTGCTTGAGGATGGGACTCTCCTTTGTGGATCATCAGTTGAAAGTTGGAATTCTTGGGGAGCGTGGATGGAGGTTCCATTAAACATTTTAACTCGGTTACTATATCCATAGAGTATGTTACATTGCTAGTACGGTTTTAAGCTGAATTGTGTCGGTACAGGTCACTTCAGACGCGGGTAGATCATGGAAAAAGAAAGGCCCAATATACATTCAAGGCAAGAATCTTAGTGTGATCCAACCGGTTCCATACCAAACCGCAATTGGGAAACTACGGGTTTTACTCAGATCATTCACCGGCATTGACAGAATATGTATCTCAGAATCATCAGATGGCGGTGAGAACTGGAGTTTCGCATCACCAACGGTTCTCCCAAACCCAAATTCAGGTTTCTGGAATTCAAAACAATTCATCATCATACACATTAGTCTTCGCTTTAGCGCTATTTATCGATGAAAATATCGACAGGTATCGATGGAGTCAAGCTAGAGGATGGTAGGCTAGTGCTTGCTTACAACACAGACTCAAGAGGTGTGCTCAAAGTAGGAGTTTCTTTAGACGATGGTGATTCTTGGACCGATGTTTTAACGTTGGAGGAAACTCCGGGAATGGAGTTTTCGTACCCGGCGGTTATACAAGCCGGAGATGGGAATGTCCATGTCACATATACATATAACAGGACACAGATTAAGGTACCAATTAGGTTAATGAGTTTGGTTTCTTTTGATGTTATTATTCAATAATCTCTTTGTGTGTGGTCTCTATACGCAGCATGTTGTGCTCAAGACTAAGACATACAGTATATCGGTTCGAGTCCATACCGGAAAACCCGGTGAAGCATGAGGAGGACACGTGGACTTGGGTTTGTACGAAACCAATTTTGATTAATTAGAAATTTGGATCGAGTTTTTGTGTCTGAACTCTAAACCATTGATTTGGAACATGTGACAAAGATTGACCAATTCTTGAGTTTGTTTCATTTGCTACTTGTTGATGAATTCTCAATAATTTATTAGTTGAAATCATATAAGTTAGAGATCTGCTTTTATCATATGTATATCTTGTGGATTTGTTGGTGAAAGAGATTTGAACATTTATGTATGTAAGACTTATTTGAATAATAATTGTAGACTATGGTCCAAAAATAATAATGAAGGGATATACTTCATTGTCGGTAATTGTATAGTTGAGTTGTATTAAATTTGGTTGTGACTAAAAAACGAAAATTGGTAGTGATTGATGGAATCCATTTGTTTATAAAAGTAGAAATTAATTGAGAGACCATGTCGATCTCCAAAGTCGAAAATATTATAACTATCATTTATTGTATCATTTGCACCGTGCTAGATAGTACTTGGGAACATCATTAGAAATTGTGTTCTAC